CGCAGGCTGTGGAGGCGATTGCGGTCGACCGCAGAACACTAAAGCATTAAAGATACAGCTAGAGCTAGATTCGATAAGTTATTTGGTATCGGTACCAGTGACTTTTTGCACAGCGTGAAACGAAGCCAATGTTTGACCTCGCTTATGCACAGTTCGGGTTGCACGTGAGCAAAGGCTCAAAAGTGGTATACGCTCAGGTCCTTCGTGCTGTGTAAAAAGTCTTGAATAATATAATTGTCGATATATCGATAGTGCTTATTTCAAAGATCTATACTTCGAGAATCGATCGATACCTTTCCAAAGCACAGCTACTACGTGTACCCACATAGTCATTAATTCTCTTGTTTGGTATTGATTCAGAAGACAATATATATTCGAGACGTTATCGTAATGTGTGGATTACGATACCTAGCAAGTATTGTTCTATTAATATAATTCTAAAGGTTTAAAGCAAAAAGTGGCTGAAGTAATATGAAATTATGAAATAAACCTTATTTCCATCAACTTTTATTGAATTGTAAAGAAATAGTATCTCTTGACGACATAGTTGACAGCCGTATTCTTCTAACAACGTGTGCGAAGAGCCTTCTAACAACGTGAACAAGAGCGAAGCGCGAATGAATGGGAAGAATGAATGGTTATGTATATAATGAAACTAGTATGAATGATGTGTGAATGTAGAAAAAAAAAATAAGTTACCAAACTAAATAAAAACAATTTACGTAGAATATATATAATAGTATTACAAAAATGATTTTAGTGTAAGTTAGTAATGCCAAAGTGCAATTAAGATAACTTTAGGTCTAGATTGTAAGTTAGTTGTAAGTAAAAGCCCCGCCTGTAGCTGCTTAAGCCGCAAGGCAGCAGCGTAGTAAAAAAATTCATTGAAAATAAATTCCCCTTCTCCACAGGGATACTGTGGAGGGGACAAAAGAAAAAAAAAAAACAACGTGTTTCAAAAAGAAAAAAAATATAATGAAATTTTTAGTTTATTAAATTACTGGTCAACCAAATACTTACAAAATGTTTTAACACGTTAAGTGCTTGTTCTACTGCAAAAGTTTATTTTCCTTCCGTTGGAAGACACGTCTCTAAAATGAATTAAAAATATTATATTTTATGTGGAGATAAGGTCATGAAGTCAGTTCAATTCATGTCTAATGAATATTCGAGGTTACCAAAGCCTGCTAACCACGTACTTGAATTTCTTTACGAGTCTAAATGATAACGTAGCTTTACTCCCGAGCAAACGTTTTGACAATATTAAAATAAAAATAGAAAGAATGTCCCTGATTACCAAATCCGCTACCCACATTTCGCATACAGGTATCAGTTGGAAACATTTGAAGATTAGATAAAATATTTCTAACCTTTTATACGGACATAACATCCTGAAAACTATGATATACTCGAAATCTTGAATTTTTCTACTCATCGACTGAATTACAATTCGTCAATATCAGCAAGGTTATATTTGAAAATCTTGAGAACACTCAGCTATGCATTAAATTACTTCATGAGCTTTTCAAAATATTCATTGTGGTAGATCTTGTACGACAAAATTGAGAAGAAGAGAATAAACTACTTTTGAAATCTGTGTCTCTGTTGCACAATATTTAAAAAAATGTAAAGCTATTCAGAAATGCAACTTTTCTGACAGGAAAAATATTAATGAGTTAATTAAAATTCATACCTAAGCATATGGCATTGGAAGAAGATCCGCAAAACCCTTCGTGAATCTGACGAGAATATGACGGCAGTATTGAGTACTTGAAGCTGTCATTTCGGAATCTCATTTGAATTTTTCAACTAAAGTATATCTAAAGAATTCCATTTTTAATGCGGATGAAGATAATTGTTAAACATCCTCAATTTAAGTTTCTTATTATGGGCACGCAAATCGAAAAAAATAATGGATAACATACAATATTGAATTGAATAAAACACAAAGAAAAATTATATTTTTCAATATTTTGGAATTTAAAAAATTATATTATCCAATATTAAAATCTAAATGTTACTCGTACTAATAAACGTGTTTACACAACGAAAGAACATAGTTTCTGCAAATCATCCATTTTGCGAATCAATACAAATATTAATGCTGTAAGTAAGTGCATTTTACAATGCAAACTTTTCTCTATGATTGTCAAGAGTATTCGAGAACACTTGCGTGTTCGTATTTCAACTCGCGAGTAGACTTCTATTGCACAAAAGCAAAGACCTAATTTTAATGTCCATGTTGACATTTTAGTGAACTATTTTCACAGAATGCTTTATTATATTTGCATTATGTTAAAGTGTTGATAGAATCCTGCGCAACTATAGTGCTTTTTGTTTGAACACTAGTCTGCCAACCTTTCAAGATTTAGTCTACTTGGCAATGTAAATTAGCAATTTCTACTTAATATTTCTCTCAGTACTTACTCTTCGAAGAGAACTCAGCAAGAGTAGGAAGTAGAGCTGGGGACGGCTTCATTGGTACAGATACCACACACACTTCACTATTTTACAAATAACACACGTTTACAGGGTAACCGAGCAGATCTACGTACAGGCGCGAACTGAATGCAAGTGCTTGCTAAATAAGTGCGCGTAGCGCTCTCTATAAACTAAATTTGAAACTACAGATACTAAAGGGACACGATATAAATGTGTTCTTAGAGGTTTTCGGAAAAGTTGAATTAAAATGGGTAAGGAAATTTTAATAAAATAGTAAAATAAATAAAAGCATGTATGGGAAATGAAAATAGTTAATAGAGCAATACAAAAGGGGAGAAACGTTGACGTATAACTGGTCAGTAACATTTGTAATGTTCATCATACTAACAAAATATTTTAATCGATAATTTGTGGTTTAAAATAATCGTTCACAAAAATAATTATAAAAATATTTTATTTACACTGATTAAATTCATATTAATAAAATATATTTACATATGTTCTGTACAGATTAAATCATTTGAAATGCATGTTTAAGGCACGTTTGTATAATTCAATGCAATATAAATATATTTACAAAAATAACATGCAGAGATTATTTTTCTTTTTAAAACATTAAGTTGTTTATATTAATATTACACACATGTGCGCAGAAATCACAGATTGTGCTTTAAAGCTAATCTAATAATATTACTTTCAATAAGTACACGTCAATAAATATAAGAACTTTAGTTCACATTTTCAAAAAATAAGTCATTTACTCAGAAGTATTTTATAAAACACGTTGGTTGATAATTGATGGTAAGTCTATTCTCTTGAATGAGTCAGGAGTAATAACCCAATTAAATCTTCTAAATACAAAGAATATATTAGTGATAAAGACCCTGGAGAAAATACACATATTGGGTCTTAAGTTTAATTGAAAATGATTAATGCTTTTGATTATACATTATGTAAATTGAGTAAAGAACCTATTTATTGATTATTTTCTTGGTTAATGAAATAAATATTATATAAAAAAGTGATATTAGTTTTGGAAGGCATTTTGACATATATTTTCAGATATGCATCTATTCTCAGTCTTTTTTACAATAAACTCATCTTAAATTTCACGTAATTTAAAATGTAGTATCACTGATGAGTTTCATTTTTTAAATATCTTTTATTTCTATTTCAAATTTTAAACAAATATATGTTGTAAAAGAATATGTATTTTTATTGTATACACCACTCAGAAATATCTAAATATTCGATCAACAACTTCGAATACTTTGAATGACTCCTTCAGATGTTGCAGTAAAAGTTATCTAGTTATTTTCCTGTGGCTTTTGTCATTTAAGATACAATAGAAAATAAAATTATTATTTTTGAGGATAACTGCTGCTTCTAAACGTGGCTTTAAATTGTTTCACAATGTCAAACGGTGGCGTAGCATATTTGTCTTATATTTTACGAATTTTCCTCGTACAATATTCAAAAATATCCCTATTTTCTAGAAGTGTTTGTTGGCTTAAGGACAATTTTGGGCCCGCGTTTCTTATAATATTCAGTTGATTAAGAGGTATGCAATTTCCAATGATTTCTCGTTTTCGTGAGGATATGTTCGTTCGCCAATACGGCGAAATAAAATAAAAAATGAAATCATATTTGGTAGTGGGATTCTAAATTGAGTTTAAATATGACTATTTCAATTAAGAAATAACTATATTTACAACATGAACTTATCACATTATCCAAATTTTATATAATCTAATTTTGAAATAATTTTCTTTGCAAGCAATAGTAGAAGGGTTTGTTCTTTTGCCGAGAGTCCATCTTTTATTTTAAAGAAAAGAAGGATAAAAAATTTAAAATAATGTGGTGGTATTCTGTTCATGTTGACAGGGAAATACTGGAAAACAAGCCGGAAAATAAATGTGTTAGAACATTTTCTTACTTTCTAGGGTATTTGTTACCTATACGTCATAGAAAGTTATTACTGTTCTTTGGCAAAATTAACCGAGTGAAATGAAGCAGTTTGAACCAAGCCTTTTTGAAAAAAAATCTCACTAATTCAAATATCTGGATCAAGTGGTATTCCACAATCGTTCATCGGGCGTAGCGCACAGTGTGACAGCGGAAGAGCCTTTTCAGGGCCCTTTCAGGATCAGTAATGTGAAATTGTTTTGGAATCTGTCAAAATCATCTCTAACGGGTTGGTTCGGTCGCGGCGCGAGATGGTGGCGCGGAGCAGGGGGGGGGGGGTGCGCGCCTGCGCTTCCACAGGCGGTGCACAGGCAGTTCCCTTTCAGGAGCTGCGCACAAAGGCGCAGCACTGCGCACCTGCGCCCACGCCTGCCAACATCCCAATGCCACCGCGCGAAGAATGATTGCACACGTCGCTCATTAAGTACAGTGCCGACATAACTAACTGATCGCCATTTTCAGTTCGTGCCGTTTGATTAATAGTAGTTTATGCAATTCGTTTATTATGTTAAGCTTTATTGCAAGAGTACGTGTTTTGAAAACGAGCGACTTTAGGAGCAAGTTTTCAAATTTGTACGAATGTAATAAAGCAACATTATAAACGAGTTGCATACTATATTTTTTGTATAGCAACATTATACATTTATAAGAGAATCAAATTTAATTTTGCGAAACACCTTCCCTGAGACGACTTTATTGACATCGACGACTGGTATTTGACATCGTGCGAGTAAACGGTGGTCGGCTGTTCCGTTTAGCTTTACCTTCTCCCGATTCTCTCGCTACGATTGGCTGAATGTGTGATGACGCAATCATTCGTGACATAAAATGTAATACGTCATTATTTGTGCCGCAAGATGCCCAATTAGGAACGATTTCTTGCAACAGAGAAGGTTCTTTTATAATGCTGGAATACAAAAAACTATTTATATTTTTTAACTAGGTTAATGGTAGAAGTAGTTGACATCCACGCAAGTGCATGGGTTGCTTTGGAGCGGGGTACATTTGAATGTTGGATTGTACCTAAAAAATAAGCATTTTCAGGTGGGGAGCCGCATATTGATTCTTTTACATATTATGCAGCTCTCGACTAGAAAATTCAAATTTATTGACCACTAGTTTTTATCAACTCTAGTGTGATTATTTTCCAACGATAGATTTTTGGAGTTCCGTTTTTAGACTTTTATATTCAAACGCACTTTCTGGAAAATGCCGTTTTTATGAGATACGGCGACACTGCATTTAATGACAGATGGCATACATTATATTAGTAAGTTCAGGTATTAATTTGGAAAGACACAAGAATACCGTTTACCTGTAAAACGTCTATGAAGAGTTCTATTGGTTCGTCTACTACAATTCATTTAGAAATGTAATATAAATATTATATTTTACCAAATATAAAATTAACTCGAGAATTTTTCTAGTTGGCAAGTATAATTCATAAGGTATTACGACAAACAAAATTTCAGAAATATTTGTTACAATTCTCCGAACGAAAATCTGTTAACGCCATGCCAAATGATTATGACGTAAGAGGCATCTAGCTGGTCCAAAGATGATTGCAATATATTTCCATCAACCTCCATTTGACCGTCCACATTACGTGGAGGTGGCGGCGTTATAGCCCGCTAATCTTGTAATATATCGCAGATGAGATCATAACCCAGCCACGTACAACAACCTCGACGCTTGCGCATGTCAAGGCCGTCGGCAGGTCCTTTGCCGCCGAACGCGGCATTTCGCCGCGTCCCCGCCCGCGTGTGGGCGTCAGAGTCCGCTGGCCTTGTACATGTCGCAGATGATGCGCTCGATGGGGATGTGGCCGATACTGCGCCGGAAGAAGAGCTCCTCGATGGAGGCGGCGGCCACGCTGCGCAGCGCGGGCAGCAGCAGCAGCAGCTTGCCGAAGCGCAGCGGCTGCGCCGGGTACGCCGTGCCCACGTACTTGCTCAGCGTCAGCTGCGTGTGGTCCTGCAGCGCCGCCACCGCCGCCGCGTCGCGCAGCGCCGCGCCCCCGGCCCCGCCC